CCCGGTTGTCTCACTTTCATCTCTCAAACCACCATGGTCGTCTACAGGGTTACAACTTGGTAGAGAGATTGATAAACTCCGCTGAAACAGTCCTCACTGATGATCATATTCCGGATTGCCATCACATGCGCACCAAACTGTTGACTAAATTTTTTAATGTTCGATTGTACATTATGGCTAGACATACCAATTTTATCAAAATCAGTTAAAAACTGTAAATTCTAGAGCGTTTACGAGGGATAATCATTTGTGGGCTGTTCAGATCATTCCTAAGAACTTATTTTGATTTTAAGAAAAATTAGAAAATCAACATGGCGGCCAAGGTATCACTTCAGGTCTAGATTTTATTTTAAAATGGACCATAGAATTTTATTTATTATCGATCAACAAAATTTCATTCACTGGAATAATTTATACCGGAAGTTATTCAACCGGAAGTAGTTTTGATGTTTAGTCGCTTCCCTGTTTAAAAGCGGAAATGAGGTGCAAAATTTGACTGTACCATAATATTAACTTTGGTGATGTCTGTTTGCATTTCAAATTTCAGATTAACCGATGCAAAAATATAATGGTTGCAAAAAATGTGAAAAATTCGATTGAAAAAACTGAGCGACGAAATTTAGAATAAAGTGCTATCATGTTACAATTAGCGAGTAGATTTTGAAAATGAAAACCGCAAAATGAGGCTTTTAGAGCAAATGAACTGTGGCACTTCCGGTTTCGCAAAAATGTTCCAAAATATATTTAACAACAACGTTGCATTTATATAAGATCCATGAATGTTGAAATTCAGTTGCAACTACTGTTGTTTAGGCTCAGGAAGGTGTGTAAATTTCGAAAAAAAAGGGACATTTCGATACCAAACTGGAACTTTGCAGTAGCAAAGTCCCACAATGAAAGGATGCATTCGATTATTAATTGGTTATTATTACCCTGATCACAAGTGAACGTATCGACGTATGTATTTTTGCCATAAAATCTCCAGGACTAAAATCAATAAAATATACTCATGGAATAGAAAAATCAAAGTATTTGCTGCTCCTATTAACTCTAAAACCAGAACCAATCATTCCTTCCACAACTATTCTATCAGCTACCAAACCTTTCCATCACCTAACCAAGGACAAATCAACATGGAATTCCCCTACACTGAAATCTACCTTAATCATTGGATTGTCAAACTTCAATCAAAGTATTTAAAATTCTTCAGATACTGAGACTCATTCTTATCTAGGTTTACCAAGTAGATGCAATACATATCCCTTTAAATCAGAAACTCACCATTTTGAAAGGAATTATATGAAGAAAAGCTACCCTACCCTATCTGAAGCTTTATTTCATGTAGTATAGTATAGTTTTTGTATCAGTTGATGATTTTTACTGATATCAGTATTTTGATGTGATATTTATTAATTTTTACATCTATTGTTATACAGGACATACAATATTTGTCATGTTGTCTAAGTACTAAATTCTGTCTGTCAGTTACCCATTCTAGAAGTAAAAAATTCAATAGAATTACAAAGAATGTCCAGCCTCATGTAAAATAACAGATAGACTAGGTGAATATATAATGTTATAATCTGGTGACTTTCTGTTTGGTTGAAATATTTGATTGAAAAAGTTAATATATTTCACTATTATTATCTAAAATAGACGATCATTTTCATAATATTGTTTTAATCATTCATTTTTTCACAAACTCTTTGTATTAATAGTTGTTTTTTTAGATCTTAGATTTATTTTCATTCATAATCAAGAAAAATGGTTAAACCAGGTTAAGATGTGAAATTTATAACTTCAAAATCAACAATAATGGTGGCTAAATTTCAACCAATATAACATCACGTTTTATTTCATTGCAAAATACAACCTAGATTTCCAAGATATTCATTCCTCAAACTTTTTTTTATCCTCTGTCTATCTATGAATGAATGAATGAATGAAGTTAGAAATAAGAAGGAAGAGAGTATCATTTCACTAGAAGAAATTGTGACAGATCAGAATCAGTCCTTAGATATTCCTTCATACAACAATGATAAAGATAAATCCTCAATATATTTAGTTTTTCTTGTAGGAAAGAATTAATTTAGATAATAAAATAAGGATTTTCTGTAACTGAGGCTGAATTTCTCAAAGAAACATGTTTTAAAGAACCAGATGGTCAAGTGTAGTGATTAAACTTGTATAATTTCTCTACAGCATTGTACAAAACCTATTATAATACAGTTACAGCTTTCATTGTTTAAACTGTTCAAATAAATGATGAATATTTAAAGATTATTTGTACTGTGTAACCAAATGAAGAGAAGACATTCAAGATATAAACCAAGTTGTCAGTCCTGTCTATTTCATTTAAGAAATTTAGATAAGAACCTCTAAAAACAACTTGGTGATAACAATTTCAACTTTTGGACACGAATACAGCGGGATTAGATGCGGTCAACTAGGATTTGAAGTAGCTCAACTTTCAGGACTGCGTCCGTGGCAGGAGAACCTTTAGGGAGGTGTACAGCTTTCAGGACCACGTCCTAGGTAGTGGAACCAATTGCTAACCAGCAATAGATGATGTTGCTTACTTCAAAGATCAAGGCCAGGATGTCTTATTGACCATCTCTGGATACCAAGACCTGGAGCTTGTTGACTTAGCTCCTATGCCTCTTTTGGGCTTTATTATTGTTATTTTATGATCCTTATAGACTGTCCTAGATATCATAGACTAAGACCCAGTCTACACACCTGCCTGGTTTAATCTCAACCAGAATCTACTTTCTTCCCTTCAATGATCAATGATCAAAAGTTAAGATTTGGTTACATTTAGAAATTTTCTTTATAATTTTCACCATTACTGATTAACAGATTATTAATTTAATTGTGATAATATAAGAGTTGTACAATGCTTTCTTCTAAAATATCAACTACATCTAAACCTATTTAGTAGTAAAGGTAAGAATCTTAGAAAAATTTAACTCACTAACTTATAACCTTTTTTTATATTCATATAAACTGAAATTTTTAAGACAAACTAAATAGATTGGTATCAAGGATTTATCTTTATCAATGTTGTATGTTAGAAATAGAAGAAAAGACCCTGGTGTATCTCAAATTCTTCTATTGTAAATATACCCTCTCCTGTCTGTATTAAACTTCTCATTTCATTTCACCGTTAAAAAGATTGACAAAAGGAATGAATGAATAATAAATATAAAAAGAATGAATGAATATCTGTATTTTATTCTGAATGTATGAACTTTGAAACTCATTTGTAAACATTCAATCAGGATTTTTATAAAAATATTTGAAAATAATTGACAAATGCAATATTTCAAATGTTCTAAATAGATTTCTTTTAAGTTAAAAATTTAATTTGATTTCTATCTTTTTCACTTTGCCAATAGAATTGTTTAATATTATGGTTTAGACCACACCAATTCTATACCTTCTGATATATACAGGGTTCACTTTAGATTGAAAAATTTGATTGGGCTAATCATGTTAAATTTTTAATTCACATTCCATAAGAATTTAGTAGAAATTTAAATTGTTCAAGATGATGACTTCAGATTGATCTTACATCAGTTTCTATAACCTTAAGGAACTGATTTGTAAGTTGTGGTATAATTCAAGAAATTCTCACGACAAATATGCAATTTAATTTAATTTGATTCTCAGATTTTTACTCAAACTACAATGTGATTTAAATTGAAACCTGTATATTATATATATCGCTGGGTTAGAGCAAAAACCTCGTAAGTGACAAAATTCAATATTTGGGTTGCAGTCAATTTTTAAGGTTAAAATAAAATTTCTTATCACCCTATTATCACAAAAGAGTGTTTTTTTAGTAAAACACCAAAATTTATAACTATGAAATTCATTGTATCTGCATTTTTCTTTAAATGTTTAGAGCATAA